AAGAAATAACGCCGTTAGTTACTGGCATATCATCTTACAGTATATACGCCAGTAACTAACGGCGTAATTTCTTCCAGTTGGTAATGTATATACGTAAGATTTTACGCCAGTAACTATGTAAGATTTTACGCCAGTAACTAACGGCGTCATTTCTTCCAGTCGGTGATATATATAATGTAAATTTTACGCCAGTAACATAATTTAATCATATATTAATTTATTATAATTAATCTACCGACGCAGTGGCGTAAAATCCTATAGTATATAAACTATGTTAGTCACATATTACGCCGTTATATATATTCCCGCTGTCGATCGCTCGCTCGTTCGCTGCGCTCACTCGTGGGCAATAGAGTTGAACATTCTAAGAGAAATTCCATACCTACGCTCGCACATGTATTAGTTATCCCGTTACGCACTTCAATTTACTCTCTCTTTCGCTCTTGACAATTGCGGGGCGGAAGTATTTAAGTTCAATTTTTCACTATTTATGGATATCCAGCCCTTGAAACGTGAAAAAAATTGCTTATAACTGCTAGAGTATTTGATTTCAGTGTTTTTTGGAACTTAGTAAGATTTGTAGGATACTACAGACCCAAAGTACATTCAGGAACCAGCAGATTCACCCAGAGCTCATAGCTATAGATACCTCGCACGTTTGCTGCGCTTACTCGTGAGCTTTCGAGTTGAACATTCGAAGAGAATTCCATATCTACGCGCGCCCATGTAATATATAGATTTTGCCAAGCCTTAAAGCGGAGCTATTGTTAGTTTATTTTCTAGCCCCTCATCATAATAAAAACTGTAATAAAACTCTTCAGCACTGGCTGTAGAAGAACTGCTTCAAGGGAATATAGGAACCAGTCAAGGGGTTGGAGAGGAGGGGGGAAGAATTGGCGAGGTCTGGAACCTGGGGACGATGTTCTCACAACTTACAAAGCGATAACCACGCATGCCAGTTAGGTGACCTTCAGGCAGCTAAGGACCTTTGTTGTTGTTCCTGATGTTTTGAGCAAATTTTCGAAGAAAGGGAGCGTTTTCTTCTTCAAATGAAGTGTTTGATGTCCGCATCAGTTAAAATTATATTTTATTGAGCGTGGCTGATAATTTCGTTTCGGGAAAATCAGCCAAAATTGAAATAAATGACTGTAAACTACTTCACGTTAAGACATCACTGGTCGATTGAGGAATATACACGTGAGAACAGTGAGTCAGTAAAACAATACGCCTGAATCGTAGGGGCTTCTCTTATACCTTCTCTTGAAGTTGCCAGGTATGACTACTTGCCCCATTTTTACTTTTTCTCTTTTGGCTATACTTGTTTTATGATTGTCCTCTGGCTGGAAATACACGGCGTTTTTTTTGAGATTTTTACTGTTATTTCATTCGGTAACCTCTGCTGTAACTGCATGTAATGTAGGTGTCTTTAAGCCTGTCTTAGCAACTTTAGCTACTGAAATACGAAATTTGTCCAACATATTTTATATGCTGCGAAAGTTTGATGTTAAGGATGACAGGCCAGAACTAGAGTATCATAATTAAAACTTGATGACGAATAGAGACCTGGGATTCGACCATGAGGAAATTTGTGGAAAACTTGAGAAAATACCTGGATTTTATTAACACATCACAGAAATTAATTCAAAATATCAATAAAGTTTTCTCTTTAGTTTAAAAGTTGAGTTGACGTTGTTATCGGCTATATCAAATGGGTTGAAACGTTTTAGACGGTTTTTCTCATGTTTGCAAATAACGGAATTTTCTGGAAGGTAGAGTTGTTGCAACATGTTAACATGAAACACAAAAATGAATTTTATTGATATGCATATAGTTTTCATTTGACTATGTAATGGAAAGTCTTTGTATTTCAACCCAACCATTTTCCACAACTTGTAAACACCATTACAAAATAATTAGTTCGGGAAATGGAAAATTTGTGGCTTATACACCATGTTTGAAATGCCACGTCCATACTAAGCTAACATTATCGAAGAGGGTGTATGTGGGATTAGGCTCTCTTATCTGTATCATTAATTTGCTTATTGCTTCTTTGCCAATGTTTTGATGAGGTTGGGCCGTCAGGGCAAAGGAAATGAGGACTTTAGTAGGCAGTGACTTTTTTCAAACGCTATAAACTCTTGCAGCTGATTAGATGGTTATCAATTTCTTTAAGGTTTTCCCGCATTTGTCAACTAGCTTGTCATATTCATTTCCGATTTTAGGACCAGTTTTTGTGACATGGCCCTACAATCAACACGTCTTAAAGCAAATTTTCATCGCTTGACACGATTACTGATGCGTGGAGGTGTGCAGCTTTTGCGAGAGACTTTAGACTCCATTCACTCACCTGCTGATCTTCCTTTGAGACTCGCTGATCCTGCCATACAGGCACAGCTGAAAGGAGCAGGACTTACCCGGCCAGAGAGGGCTTGTCTGTACCCATCCACTGGGGTGTATGGAAAGTCCAAGGATTTTGACATCACATTAATCTTCAAGTTATTCAGGACAATTTGCAGCCTGACCCCTCCCCCTGGACCGAGAGGATGGGATAATTTACCAAACCGCTCAGACCACACTCTGGTGGCAGATTTAGTTCGAATAAAATATTATCGAAATGAGATTTATGGTCACCGTCCCACTATGGAAATAGCTGACATCGATTTTACTCGTCTCTGGGAGGAAATTAGAGAGGCTCTGTTAAGAATTGCGACAAATGTTAGTCCTTCAAAGAGAGATATGTGGAAGAAGTCCATTGATGATCTTCTTCGTAATCCTTTGACGCCAGATGATGAAAGATGCATTGAAGAGCTAGAGACTTGGTATAAGGGAGACGTTGAAGATGAATTGGAAAAGCTTAGAGAGGAGCTTAGAGAGGAGCTGATAGAGGAAGTGAGGTCTGAACAACCCGTGGTCGTAGGTCAGTAAAAGAGTAAATTTAAGTCCCCATTAGACAAAAATAAGGAAACCATATTCTCAGTTCCCTTTGATGTTAATCCAATGTTGCCATTTTTCCCGAAAATCCTCATTTAATTGCTTTGACCTTGCACATTTGCTTAAAAAATAAATTAAAAAAAACAGTAGTTTTCTTTTTTGAGTTAAAATGCAGGTTAATATTTGGTTGTTTTTCTATCAGCCACACATATGGACATAGATGGATCCGAACCGACGTTCCTTGATTATCGGAGTTGTCATCTTAATTCAGTTGCAAAATGTTCATTAGTCTATAATTTGATTGTTTATTATCATTATAGCTCATTTTAGGAGATTTTCAATTCACATGCTGCGTGTTGGTTGACATACAAGCTCCCGTAGGGGACAACTTCGGCTTTAACAGAAATTCTGCCCTCTCGCTTAGGAGGAAATATCAATAGTTTTATGAAATTCGAAAACTGTGCTACTATTCCGAAAATAAAACTGAAATAGTGTTGTCGTTGTCACTTACCGTAATCAAAAAATTCCGTGCAGAATTCCGCAAAACTGAATAAAATCTGTGGCGTGAACCGAAGACTTTTTGAAGGAAATATTCGTGGGCGTTGTTCATGCTCTCTATTAGATAACAATTTAAGAATATTCCGCAGATCTCTATGTGTATTTGCTTTCTTCGATCGTCAAATATCTCAATTTTTTCAAACATTTTACAACTATATGTAAATGTACATCTCTCTCGATCGAGATTGACTTCAAGTGTCGCCCTCTATTTAGCACACACAGAAAACACAAATGTCAAGCAAGATTGGCTATTCGGCAAGCCCAGAATCGCATATGTCAAGTAAGATTGTATGCAAGTCTCACACTCTATTCGGCACGCACAGAAACGCATGTGCAACCAAGATTGCCTCAAGTCTCGCACTCTATTCGGCACGAAAACGCACATGTCGAGTGAGATTGACTACAAAACTCGTACCATATTCGGCACGTACAAAACGCGTATGTCAAGTGAGATTGACTACAAGTCTCGTGCTCCATTCGGCAAGCGCACAAACGCACATGTTAGGTAAGGTTGACTAGAAGTCTCGTAATCTATCCGGCACGCACAGAAACCCACGTGCCGATCGAGTGAGTTTGACTACAGCACTCGTACTCTATTCGGCACACACAAAATGCACATTTCGAGTGAGATTGACTACAACACTCGTACTTTATGGGGCATGCACAAAAACGCACATGTCAAGGAGGATTGCCTCCAGTCTTGCACTCTATTCTACACGAATAGAGACGCATATGTAAAGTAAGATTGCTTGAGTCAACACTCTATTTAGCACGCTCAGAAAACGCACATGTTAAGATGTTAAAGGGGACTGACTTTAAGTCTCGTACTCTATTCGGCACGCACAGAAATCTTACATGTCAGGTGAGAATGACATGTCGTACCTTATTCGGCGTGCTCACAAAACGCACATGTCAATTAAGTCTCACTCTCGATTCGGCACGCACGGAAAACGCACTTATCAATTAAGATTACCTCAAGTCTCGTACTCTATTCGGCACACACAAAAAGTGTACATGTTAAGTAAGATTGACCTCAAGTCTCGTACTCTATTCGGCACACACAAAAAGTGTACATGTTAAGTAAGATTGACCTCAAGTCTCGCGCTCTATTCAGACTCGGTACAGACAGAAGATTTACGGATTTTCTTTCCTATTTTAAAACTCTCTCTCTGGGAAGAATGGATTCGATACAGGGATATAGCTCTTTTCTAAAACAATCTACCACTGTATGATACTGTTATTGTTATTCGTCGGCCTACCCGACAGCTGCGAATAATGAAGCTTGCTTTGCTTGACATGAAGTTTCACATTTTGAGGTTTAAGTTCAAATAGTTGAGCTCATATGATCGTCTCTTATTTTGTTTGAGAGAGAAGTTTTGATATCTTTTTACAGGGATGAAGCGAAGGATTTTAAGTAACAAGATGCGAATGGTTCTGTGTCGTAGTTAAAAATGTATGTATTTATTTTTGTAAGCGCTTTTGATTATAAGCAATCGCAGATCGTTTTTATCCAAACCGAGGTTTCGTAATTTTTATTTGTAATCACTCATTACTACTGCTGTGTGATTACGGTTTTAGTGAAAACGAAGACCCCCGAAAACAAAGACCTGAGACCCGAAAACAAAGACCCGCAAACGAAGACCCTCTGATGATCTTGATACAGGAACTGCGTGTCACGCTCTACAGCTTCACCGATGAAAAACAGTTTAAAGCTTGGCAACTTCTCTGCTCGCAACGCGATCATTTATCAGTTAAAAAAAGCGAAATCGCCGACGATTACATTAAACGGTAAACCGGAGATCGCTTTATGTCCTATAATTTTCTTATTTGATGCTTTCTTAATTTATTTCTGAAAACACTACTGCCATTCAAAATTTCTGACCGCCGCCTCAAGAGCTTGCAGATGTGAACTTTCGACCCGGCTGACGCCATTAGGTGTTACGGCATTGCTCTTCTTTCATACAAGCCGGTCCAGCTGCTCTTGATACAAGCTGGTTTAGCAGGAAAAATGCCGTAATTGAGTATTTTCAGTGTTGCGTGTAGGCAGGTTTCCTTCCTTCTTCTTCTTCACAGAGAAGGTAATTTAACGGCTGTGGCATTATTTACGAAACTTTTAAAACTTGATTTAGAGGCGTGTTTGAGACGCAGACGGCAATCAAAGAAAAAAACTAATTGGGGCGCGCTTTGACGTCAGTGAATCGACTGAAAGACCGTCAACGTAGCATTTTAAACTAACTTGTGGTGATCAGAAAGGTGCAGTAAGCATTGGAAAGAATCCAATAAATGAACACGGTTCCTATAGATACACGACATACCCAGGGAAATTTGCAGGAAGCCTTCTGGTCAAAATAGTCACGCAATTCAACGCCGGCAACACTCGATCGAGAGAGATGTAATTTACGTGTAGTTCTAGAATGCCTGAAAAACTGCAGATATTTTAAGATCGAAATAAGCAAATACACATAGAGACCTGCAGAATATTCTGAAATTGTCATCTAGTAGACAGCATGAACAACGCGCTTGAATAATTCTTACGAAAAGTCTTTGGGTCACGCCACAGGTTTTAGTTTGGTGGAGTTCAGCATGGAAATATTCGATAGCGGTAAGTGCCAACGACAACACTATTTTAGTTTTATTTTCGGAATGGTAGCATAGTTTTTGAATCTGATATAACTATTGATTTTCCTCCTAAGCGAGAGGGCAAAATCCGATGTTGTCGCACACGGGAGCTTGTATGTCAACCAACAAGCAGCATGTGACTAATCTCCTAAAATGAGCGATACTAATAATAACCAATCAAATCATGGAATAATCAGTGTTTTATGTCGCACAAGAGCCATATTTGCAGATTTTAACAAATCTCCCAAGTACCAAGCGACAGAAGAAAGAAACGCTACGATTTTCCCATCAACATTTCGCCTACATGCATCTCTCGGAATGTGAAATTTTCCATTCCGACAAAAACTCTCGAAAGTTGTTCACTTTTATTTTAGCTTTCTTGATCGATCATCTTGTATAACGAGCTATAAAATGTAGGTTTATTTGCTCAAGTGACCGCTTAGAGCCAGAATTGCGTGACAGGTGTAGCTGAGAGAAGCCTGCCGCAGATTTTAAAAGGCATCCAAGACAAAAATATGGTGGTTCCCAAAGATTTTTTTTTATGTTTTTCAGATCAGAGATGAGATGATGGATTATAAAGTAGAATTAAAATTAGTGTTGTAGCTTTCTGGCAAGGGGAGATATTTGACCTCAAAGTTATCAAATATTTGGATGGATCGAAAAGTCTAAAACACAGTCATTTATTTGCCTTTGATGATTGACAAGCCATTAATCAAATTGACTGATACTTGCGTCGTACATTCATCAGGGATGTAACAATATGTATACAAACCTTCAGAGTAATCGGTTGAATACTACTGCATTGAGAGCTTCATACTCTTTACCATACTATTTGGTGAAAGCCAAGGGAAAACTGGGGGTGGTCTATTTCCTCCCGAAAATAACCAAAACAGAAACCAGTTTGTCTGTTTGAGTTTTGGGGGTAGACCCCTTTAAACTGGCAAAGTTTCATTGAAATTGGTGAGATGGCATGTAGCACGACTGCCTTGTGCTCAGGTGGACACACTCTTAAAGCCATCATCTTCAGGTGTTATCACCACTGTTAAATCACCCATGATGGAAAGGGATCGTAGAGGATTAATTCCTTTTCAGAGACCTAGGCCCAGTTGTTCATTCAACGGAAGTTTTCAAAACACACTGCGCTATCCACCTGATAGAACTTTATCCAGTGGGTAGCGTTATCCACGTTCGAACAACCGGGGCCTAGTGTTAAGAGGGCACGATCGATCCTTTTTCATAATTTTTTTATTCATCTCTTCGTCTGAGAAGCGATAGCTAGCCGAATTTGTTATTCAGCTATTCGGATTATGATTCAAGACTACTTAAGTGGTATCAAATCATAAGTTAGCGTGGTTATTTTTGTATGTGCGTTGGACTTTCTTGAGGCAGAATGCACTGCATTTTATTTTGTTTTTTTAGCTGAAGACTGCAAAGGTGCCGCAGCTTCCAAAATCGTAACCAGTAATGGAGCATCACTGAGTGTAAAAGGCGTTACCTTGATATTTCCTCCTGGAGCTGTGAAAGATCCTGTCACCATCCAACTTACTTTGGATGAACCTTACAAATACTGCTACCGTTTAATAGCTCGTTGTGGTCTCCATAACGATGTGATATTTGTTGCTCCCATTGTCAACTGTCAACCTAATGGCCAGAAATTCGAAAACTATATCACTGTGAAGGTCACATTGAACGATAAAAGAGTGAAGTCACACGGTGATCTCCTCGTCTTACATGGAACTCGGAACAGTCAAAGCCAAAAGCCAAATTGGGAGGATATCACTGATGAGACCAAATTTGATTTTGAAACGAAGGAACTAAAAGTTAAGATCAATCATTTTTCAGTGATTGCTGTTCTGGCGAGGTTATATACGCATTCTTGGGTATGCACCAAAGAATTTGTGACCCGGCTGACCTCCATGTCCTTCAACTACGAGTTGTCTGTCCTCCTCAAAAGTAATCAGCAACAATGCCCCTCTGACGAGCTTGCCCTCGTGTTCATGAGCCAAGACACGTACCAGGAGGAGTATTACAGAGATCATGATGATTGTGCCCTGATGCGGCTTAAAAAAGATGGATTTGAAGAACTTCCTATTGACTGTAGAAATTTACAGGAAAATAACTGCATTTGCAACAAGGAAACGTTAAAGATCTCAATTCAACTCGGGGAGGATTACAAACTGGCAAATAACCAGCAAAATTGCTTTGAAGTTGTGGTGGACTCTGCTGCCTGGTGGAAAGCTGGACATGTGATCAAATTACCTTTACAAGCTTCTGACGCGAATTCCAAAATTTTTTGTGGAAAGATTCGTGTGGAAGGCAAGTGTGGGCACGATCGCGAAAGCAAGTTTTGCCAGCAAGGTGAGCTTCTGCAGTAATTCGAGTGAATTTTTAAATTTTATAATCCTCCTTGCTAATATGTGGCCTCTTACAATCTTATTAAGTTTAATTGTAAGTCATAATACAGAAAAGCTTTCGATAAAAAAAGAATTTGTCTATGATCTCATACGAAAAACTGTAGATTAAATGGGCATGCTTATTTCATGATGAAAAAAAACTTTAATTGCAGATCTGTGTGGCTATGTGAGACACGTTCTTGCTGTGAAGAGGGCAATTTTCGACGTGAAATCCGTAGCTCAAAAGCTCGAATTACCCGTTGAAACTCAGCACCAAGTTGTTGCTTGTTGGCAAGGAGAGAAAGAACAACTGGAACTTGCAATACGACACTGGAAGGAAAAGCATGGGTATGCAGCAAATCCGAACAATCTAAAAAAAGCCCTTGAGGAGCTAGAACCTGAAGGTAAGTCTCTTCTCTCCGAATGCGTGTATAGAAGATCATGACCATAAACTTCTAAGCATGGTCTGAGAGCGACTAAGAGGTCGCTTACCATGATAAACATGGAAGTTTCTATCTTTCCATGGTACAGATAAATTTGCTACCTCCCGAGGAAAATTCACGTTCTGTTTGAATTTTTGGCGAAAAGCCAGTATTGGCATTTGAAAAAAGAAAGAAGAAGGTTTTTTTTGCATATGCCCCAATTTCGGAAACACAAAAAGACCAGAACACTGGGCACTTCACGGACCATTACGACAGATATGCAGGAGACAAAGCCCATGGTTTATTTTACCTTATCCGAGAAAATTATACGGTCTAACCATTTCAGATGTCATTGCAAACTTCAAGGGCGTATTCTCCACGCTCATTTTATTGTCGGTCCGTTCCAAGACTTGAGCGCTACGTGGTCAGGTATCCTACTTATTGAGTCAACTATTGGGGAAGAGAGGATTAAGGATAAGAACCATAATAACTATTTTGTTCTATTCAAGTAACAATTCCTCAATTTCTCTTTATCTCTTTAGAATATAAGGTGAAAGAGAGAGGGCAATTGCATATTGAACTCTTGAGAGACCTGGCAATCAAAATCACACAATTAAGACACAAGGATTCTGACCAAATGAAATCTTTTGCTAACGAAGTTAAGAAGCTTTGCAAGTCAGTTTTGATAGACTGCTGTATTGAGAGCGCAACCTCCAAAGGAGAAATGGAATCAGCGATTCTAATGAGGAATTTTGTCTCTGTTCTTGTGATGAAAAAGCGACTACCCGATAGTATTGCAAAGACGTGCACAAATATGTTCTCATCTCAAGAGGATGAGTTCATTACAACCAGTTTCCTACGCATTGTTTCGGAGCTCATCCAAGCCATTAAAGAAATCTTCCGAGAGGAAAAAATTCAACGAACACCGAGTGGATTAAGAGGAGTAACGGAGGAAGCAACTCTCCAAAAAATTACTTCAGGCATTCAAGGTGCTGCTCATGATAAGAATATTTTCAAACTTCTGAGTGAGGTGTGCGACATTCTCGAGATTCTGTGTCGAAACAACAACTACGATGACCGACAAGAAGAATCGCAGATACAAAGATGGGTTCATGGTGTTATGATGGGTGACATGTTGGATTTTCTGGAAAGGTTCTTTCAAAGCACTGAAGCACGTAGATTATACAAAAGATTAGAGTTGTTTTCCGTCTCTATTAAAGACATCATGTTAAACAATACAGATTATGAGGGAAGCCTCCTATGTGGTTTCCATAATGTTGCAGTAAGTTTGCTGAAGTTCGCCAAGTTTGATCCATCACACCTTGTGCAATTTGAACTAAAGGACCCAACTAACTCGATCAACAACCAAACAAGAGATGACATAAAGTACGATATGTCGAAAGAAACATTTTCTCAGCTCTTTTGGATGATCAAAGAGAGCGAGGAAATATTGCAACTTGAGGCCACTGCTCATGTTCACATTGGAGGACATCTTCTTACAATTGGAGCATTTGAAGCAGTGATCGTCCTTCCTGAGTCAAGTGGTGAGGTTGTTGAAAATGCTCCCATTACTTCTTTTCCAGTCTCATTCAAAAGTGAAACTGACGGAGACTCAGGCAACCTTCAAGTTACTCTATACTCTAGGCAGAAAGACGACATAAGCAAGGCTCTGGAATATCTGGCGAATGCATTAAGTGGACATTTGATCTTCTCAGAACAAACAGAAATTAAGGAAACCAGCCTCAAACTTGTGAACGTCGCTAGAGCAGGGACAGACGTAAGACTACGTTTGATTCACAGATGGGGATCAGGGACCATAGAAGTTGAAAGCAATAGTTTTGAGCCTCAGCCGCTTGGATATTCATCTCCCGAATCTCAACAAAATTTGGAAATAACAGGTTGAGAAAAAAATATTTTATAAAAATAACTTTGCTGGTCTTCAAGTCTATACTGTTAACCTATTATTGTGACATAAAATGGCTGATATGATCAACTCATACTAAGAAATCAGAGACATAAAACTACCTAATATCCTTCGTGGGAAATCTCCAATCAAGAAATCTTTGCGCTGTATCCTCTTCTTGTAAGCTAAATGATGCTATATAAAATGAGATTAATCATTTTTCAACCCATTTCAAATATACTGTTTTAATTACTTAAACATTTGTTAGATTCAATGAATAACCAAAAATACCAAACTGCACTGTATATCGCTTTAGATGAGTCTGATCAACCAGCGGTGAGGGAATCGTCACTTTTATCAGGAACAAGCGAATGCTTTGCGGATAACCACAACAGTGGCAGCAACTTCATGACTGGCTCATCAAGTGCTGAACTGATGCCTTTCTCGCCGTCGACAACAATGCCAACGGGTATGTTTTCAGAGATTTTAAATTAATCTTAGGGTGCGTTCCTTTGGTTCAATTTCTGATCAGTGGCGTTCCTTTCGAGCAAATCCATTGTCAGATTAGTGATTTATCAAATCCACTCTGCACAAGGATTTTATCGTATCACTGATCTGCGCGATTTGAAGACTCAAGATTTTTGAATCACAGACCCAACGCGTTCCTCTGGGCGAAGGATCCGAAATTAATCATTTTGCCCGGCGGTACTCAATTCAAACAAGTAGGTACTTCATATATTGACCGGAAAGATTGTTGGCAATCACTCCACAAATTCTGCGATAAACAAGAAATACACTTTATTATGTAATGTTGAATCGATCGGCCACTGATCGCAGGCACTCAGGGTTCCCAAGTATCCATATCGTAATCAATACTTGCTTCTATAAGTCAATGGTAGGTCTTCCCCTATTCCTTTGTCCATGAGGCAGACCAAGGGAAGTAGCTAACAGGCATTTCAAACAGGTGACATTCGAAAATGACATCGAAAGTCTAAAACAATGTAAAGTTGTATGATACGTTTCAAATAATTCTCAATGGGGCCATGGCTCTGCATCTCCCTACTAGTTATCAAAAGAAACGATAGAAATTCTTCATCTTCACAACTTCTTGCTTCTTGTGGTATTGAATCATCGGCAAGTTCCTCTATGAACGAAACAACAGCTGCTCTATAGAGGAAGGCCATTGTTTTTGTTTTTAAATTTAGCTTGCGATTCCGCTGACGCGCTCTACGATTTCGCGCCTGCTGTCATGGTAACTGTTTATCAGATCAGCTCCGTTCCTTTCATGCACCGTGATCTGTGTGATCTTGGATCACAAAATCCTAAGCCGTATCCTCCCAAAGGAACGCATCCTTGGGATACGTTCTTTTGGAAGGATTAAGATTAGTGGTTTTGATCCGAGATCACCCAATGATCCGTTATCAGATCCCTCAAGATCAGTAATCTGATATATCCCTGTCCAGAGTGGAATCAATGTAGCAATGATCTGACAATGGATTTGCTGCTAAGGGGAACGCACCCTTAATCAGAATGTTTCAACTGATCAGCGAGCTATTTGCAGTGTGGTGTTGAATAGTGTACAACGATTTCAATGCGTATACGGACTAACAATTTCGTGTCATTGATACTTTATTTCAGTAATAAACGTTAATAACTATTTTAATCACACCTTCAACATGGAGGGTCACGTTTGTGTGGCTGGAGACAACCCAAGTCTAAACGTTCAAGCACCTTCATCTGCAGTACAGCGGTATGTACACTTGCACAGTGGTGCAATATTCAATAATTGTGCTGAGTGTAGTGGATCAGAAATTTACTGCTAATAAGGGAAGGAATAATAATAAGAAGGAAGTTACCAGTTATTAGTTCATTATCCTTATGTTTTAATTTGTAGCAGTAAGTACTCTGTCTTCTATTTTTCCTCTCAACTTCATTCACCCAATTTTATTGAGTGTACTGAGATACTCTCATTTAGGCTCTTTGATTCAACCACCGACCATAAACCGTAAAATTATATGATTGACTGGCGACCTGGCATTTTTAACTAATTAAGGTTTTTCTGGGCTGTTAGTTACTCTTCACCTTCATTATTTTATAGAACTGAGACAAAAGTAACTGCAGTTTAGGTAACGGGAGAAAGTGCATTGTTTTTGTTGTTTTTAGAAGAGAAATATCTGAAACCATCCTTTGTATTGTTCCTCTTGGTGGTCTGATAATGGTTATGTTCCTCTCAGGCGGCCCAAGCTCCAACTATGCGATGATCATCTTGCGAAATAAGAGTCATGATGAAATTTTAAGGGTTGGTATGGGAGTATAAACGACCTCTCATAGGAATAAAAAATGGTCATCCATTTCTAGGTTTACTACTCATAAGAGAAGCCCAAGGTGCGCACTCCATTTCCGAAAGCGAAAAATCCAAGCTCAAAATTACCGGGCGACCTCAAATCCAACGCAGAACCCAAGCGCATAAACTGCAGTTTCATTTAGATTTACTACAAACTCAATCTTCCCAGTGAAGCCGACGCTAAGCCGCAGTTTGCTTCAAAAATTTCCAGTTTACGTTTCTAACGGCCCGCGTACATATTCACCACGACACACGACCCTTATAAACCAGCTTGGTAACCCTGCCTCCTTTGCTAACTAAGCCTTGAGCCCTTCTGGTCGATGTTACTTTGATGCGACCGACTGTGCCTCGCCGGGGACCACACCGTCACTTGGCATCAATAAATTGTTTTAAAACCACGGGTGCTAAGTGCGGCTTAGCGTCGGTTTCACGGGGAGGATTAAGTTGATAGCGAATTGAAATGAAACTACAATATGTGTGCTTGGGTTCTGCGTTGGATTTATGGCCGCCCGGTCATTTTGAGCTTGGATTTTTCGCTTCTCGGATCGGGCGTTGTGCAGCCTTGGGCTTCTTTTATGTAGCAAACCTAGAAATGGACAACTCGCTTAAATGGGTTCTTTTCAACAAAGTAAGTGGTCAGATAACAAGCAATGCATTGTGGAAGTAAGGTGAGGTATTTTTATTTAGAATTTGACTGTATTTTTTTTATTCCTAAGAGCGGTCGTAGATATTCCCGTACAAACTGTTATGATTTCGCCGTGACTCTTATTCGCAAGATGATCATCGCTCAGCTGGAGCTTGGGCCGCCTGTGTGTTCCTGTAAAAAAAGACTTATTTATTATCCTTTGTTCCCATTCTCCTGCTTCCTCAATAATCGCAGAAAATAAAGCTTGTTGTTCGCTGGTTGACCTTTCTCACATCAAGCAAAAATGTTTTTTAATCAAAGTACTCTGTGAGCAAACTCGTGAATTGACACATGATTTTTTAGATTATGTTTAATGTTATCTGGTTTAGGGAATTTTGTGGTTGATTGTCATATCTAGAGTACGAGCAGTAGTTCAGTGTTCGCTAATGTAGCAAAGAAACAAAGTAACGTTGGGATAAGAAGGCATTACAATTGAAATGATCATGCTATTACATTTGACAAGGTGGATGATGTCATGTGTTTTAAACGTCTATCATTTTTGTTTCTGGTTCTAAAGAAAAGGTTGGCAGTAAATGTGGGTGAAAAGTGAAATTTACTGTCTTTCGTTGTAAATATTAGAAAATCAAGGCAATGCTGTCTTAATGAAAACATTAACGATTCCCTCTTTATCAAATGAGACAAACGGGAACGAGTTTTGAGTGATATAACTAAGCCAAGCCTGCCACCGTCATTTTGGATCTCCGCCTGGGTAGATTTAAGTCACGTGCTAGGCAACGTATAATCAATATCAAGATAGAATTTCATTTCAGGCCTATTTATCAATTTTGTGGTGTGTAACTTTCGCATTTTAGTTCGTTGTATGTATGTATGTTGAATCTTCAAATTGTCTTGAAACTTAAAAGAAAATTGTTCTTTAAAAATTCACTGAAAATCGGTAGCTAAAATTTTTTGTTTAGGTGTTATTTGATTTTCGTGTTAACTTGTAATTTCGTCAGTCGCCGGCATCTTTTGTTGCTTCACACAGGAAAAACACACGCGACGAAACGTAATGATCAATTTTGTCCTCAATCTCACGCCATAACAGAAAAAGCTTTTGAACATCTGTAAACTCCGAGCGCTTCGCAGTGAGTGATATTTTCAATGAATCTTCGGATTGTTTTCAAGTTCAAGGATTATAAATTACAATTTTATGAAAAACGAAGGTTGTTCTGTTATTTCAGTGTGAATCCTTGCATGCCTGCCAGTCGCTGGTGCCGCTTGTTGAAACTAAAACGAAAAAAAAAAACTCTTTTAAGATTATCATTGGCTTCTTTTTCACCCCACCACTATTCTTAGCAACAAAGGTCGTCATTTCGTCTGTTTATTGCGCGCCAAAAACTATCGAATGCACTCAAAAGCCTAAAATCTAAAAAAAAAGGTAACAGGAATCGACCAATCGAGCGAGCGAGCGAGCGAATGCCATTCCCCACATCGTATCTATAACTCGCTCTTGCGCATGCGTGCAATTCACGAGTTAAAAAGTAGTAATTAACTAAACGTTTTAAATGATTCAGTTTTCTAGAGGCTGGACCGGGTGCTGCCACAAACAGAAGTATAACTGAAAGGGCTAATGAAGACTCATGAAGTGAATCGATAGCCTTGGAAAGAAATATATTGCTGAGTTCTGATAAGGAGTTCTCTTTATCTAGAAATATAGATTAAACCCTTTGTTACGGTCGACAACATAGCGACCAGTTCAATTTTCTCGTATTAGAAAAGTAGATGAAATATTAAAGGTGATTTTATAGACATGGCTAGTATATACATCTGTTTTCAATTTGGAAATATAAGTTTATATATAGACCTTTTCTTTTCTCGCTAAAAAGGTGATGGACGATGCACCTATATTTCACATCGAAGGAGCAATACCTTTTTTGTTATTGCTCGATGGTGAAACAAAGACTTTGGAAATTTTGGCCGCAGCTATGGCACTTTCCTTTTGAAAAATTGTCCCCATGATCACTATTTATTCTGTCAACACCTTTTTTAATGAAAAAGAAAAGGTGTATATATTTCATATATATTTTCAAATCGCAACGTTTTTGAAAACGGGTATATACAACATATATGCATATATACAATTGATTAGCCTAGAGTCTTGTACCGAGAGACAAACGATTTATTAATCTATAACACCTCGATGAACAACAATATTTTTTACAACAGCTAGTACATGTAAACAGTTTTAAGCTTTAGAGATCTTGTGAGTACTAAATTTCATTTTAGCATCAAATCGAATTAAGCAACAGATTATCTACGATTATCCTTTTAGGCGAGTGCTATTTTAATCTGAGAATAATTTGATTTTCGACTCTGAAGTTTTGGTAAGATTATTATGGCCAGAACTCTTTACCCTGAGCAGACACGGTTGTTGATGCCTCATCTGCTGAGCGATGAAGTAGACCACCTGACACTACGCTTGACTGTAGAATATTTGGTTTTGATTACTGAAATATTATAATGGTTTTCGTCTCTCGGGATTTGATCTGAGACTTCTGAGTGCCGAGTACATGGTTGATCAATATCAGAGAGACTTTTGATTCAAAAGAAACCAATTATAACACGTTGCTATTACCCGCCTCATTAACAATTTGTAGCAGTAGCTTTAACAGGTAATTATTGTCGCATAAAGTATCCCATCTAAGCTGGGTTTAGAAAACTGACATACACGTTTAAGGAACCTGAAACTGGCCAACAATTTTTAGCCGTGTGGTTCTTTAAAAGCCCGTTAGAACTGATTGTGAGCCCTGTTAGCTTGAAAAAGATTTCGAAGCAATTACATATTATGACTGTATATTGTGTATATTTTGTTATGTATCAAGGACTATGTTCTGGCAAAGATCAGGCACAATTCTATCCAACTACAAGCGACTATAGGGCTTTAAGTGTCACGCAAAAGAGGTTCTGTCACGATAAGCATTGCAGAAATTAACTTTTCGGGGGGGGAGGGGGGTAGTGTTACAGGAGACCGTAGGTTCAAGACAAAACTGAAATGGTAAACTGAAATAAACAACAAAAAACAAAAAACGCTGAAGCTCTTTGGCCTGCTTTTTCAATTCAAGAGTCCATCGCTTAAAGCAAAAAAAAAATAATAAAAAAAAACGAAGAATTCATCTTGCTGCGAGCTCAATCTTACCACTATTTTAAACACTAGATTAATTGACTACAGCTTGTATCCACAAAGTTAATTAAACTTCAGTAAACTCAAAGTCATGTTTGCTTACACCTTACTTTGTTTATCGGTGTCGGGAGTCGGAATTGGCCAAATGCCCTCCCCCCCACCCCTGCCTACATCTTAAACGCTTCACTGAAACGAACGAAGCCGTCATTCGTCGTCGATACTTTAGTCAGTTTCCGCTTCCTTTAAAAGCCGCCAGATTTGTCGAAATTGTTTTCCCAGCAGACTCGAAAGCACCGGCGGCCGATTCAATATCGTATGATGCAAATTTCTAGTTAGAAATTTTTAGTTGCAGTTCCGTCTGAATCCTCTGTGAGTAAATTCTACTTGTAGTTTTCGATTTCCATTTGGCGCTCGACCTGAAAAGTTAAGGATTACAGAGATCGACTGGTTGTTGCAAGGGATTTGCCGACATTTGCAACAAAGTAAGTACGCCTAAGAACATTATTTCAATTGTTGATCTGTAAAGTAAGATTTGGTGAATAAGTGATATAGGAGAGTCACAAAAATGTTCTTCTCAGGACTGTAAATACATCGGAGTTGTGGACCTTAAGTTTTATAAATACACGTACTTTACCCGACCTTAATCGATTTGGGAAGTCATGATTGAAGCACGAGGTTGAAAGTTGTTAATTTTCAACAGGTACGAGAATTTACTCTTAACACTGGTCGATTGATTTCGACAAAAGTTTGATATCGCTATTATATGTGATCAACATTATTATTCACGGGCATTATGTTCTGCCGATGAGCTTCAGTGAGTCCAGAATGCAAATTTGTCATGAATCATTGAGAGCCAGTATTCTGACGAGTACAAAAATAGAACTCTAATCTCAACAACAATCTCGGACGGAAGCAAACCACTGACGCTAACTGCGGGAAAATTTAGTTCAATGACTCGCCGTCGTAGCTCTGAAACGGGAAATCCCTTTTGGAATGAAGTCTGTCGAAAGTAAGCTTCGAATCAACACTCGTGCGGAAACAAAAGAATATTCACTTAGCAAAACAAAATATTTTTTTTAATTTGATAAAGAAACAGCTGTCAACTTCTTACAGCGAGTGAACCATAAATAAACCTACCTTTTAAAAGACAAAGGCCCATCCCTCCTCAAGTTCCTTTAAGATCTCGAAAATTCTGACCCACTTACCTTTTGTTAATGTAGATGTATGTTAAAATTAGCCGTGTTGAAATCAAGAAAACGCTGAAAAATGGAAAATAAAGTTTTGCTCTTAAGGTAACCAATTTAGAACATTGACAGCCCCCCCGAGAAGTGTTTCAACATCAACGAAAGACGTGGGCAAAGTCACGCGCAAGCAAGGCTACTCGCGTGGAATAACTCAGACCTTCAGTCAAGCAACATATTCTTTTAGTTTCATCAGAGAGAAATTAGATGTCGCCTTTCGTGCTTAAGCATCAGATTTTAAAATTTAATTACCTTCGCCGGTGTAGGATTTGTGTTTCTAGTTGAAAAACCCTGATGGTCATTACCTCAAGTAAGCCTCCCATATCTGCAAAAGCGATCCGATGTCAGTATTTTCGATTAATTTCTCAAGTATGGAAGACTTAGGGTTGCTCATTTACTTTGAAAGACATCAATAATTTCATTCGTAACATGTTGTAGCCACTTGATTGCGCTCTTTCATTTTCACCACTTCTGGTGCTGTAGCAGCCAAGAAGCACATTGTTCCTCCAAAGAAAGGCTTCTCAGTCAAGGGAGGTAGTGTCTCCAACTATTTTGGGCGCTCCTCCATACCTAAAGTCTTGCTTGCCCTGAGTTCAGCTCACTGGATACATTCTGTGAGCTACCATGAAAATATTATTCCACCAGTGATGTTCTTCATCTAAAGGTTTTTCTTTTTGTTCTACAAAGGGTACAGAGTAGGCATGAACTTGTCTCTGAGTGACATTAAACAGGTCAGGAATACATTAAAAAGAGCACCGCCACCAAGGGCTCCAGTGAGCCCTTCCACGGATCAAAATGGAGGTAACAATGATGCTGTATCGGTGGAATCTGTCAGACAAAGATTTGAACAAAAACGAGTACCACCGCAGAAGCTAAATTCAACCCCATCACCAAGTCAAGATCATGGCAAACCCACAGAGGAAAAGGTTTTATCTGTAGCATCGGCAAGAGCAAAGTTTGAACAAAAACAGAAACCTGTTAATAGGGTTCCTCCTCACTGGAAGCAAAGTGATGGGAACCAGTCCAAAACAGGCTTACTTAGATTGGATAAGAACAGTAATGCCAGTGGGCACAAGAACATGGAACCACCACGCAAGGAGCTACCCAACGTTTATAGAATTGGTGCAGCTCCACCCAAACCTGCCAAACCAAAAAACCTAAGGTTCATGCTGAGAAAATACAAGGACAAGATCGTTTTATCAAAATGCCTAACCACTTCGATTCAGGCATCCACTAAAGGTAGGCTGAAAATGTAAATATTGTCTAACTATCGGATGTGTAGATGTATTTTCAGCCCTTTTCGAAGAAGACGTACGCTCTAGAAATCCAATGAAAAAGCATACGACTTCAATTTCTTACCCTCGTGGTTCGAGTTTACAAACGGCTACCTGAGCTTTGGAGAATTATGTTTAAACCGGCTACAGACGCCGCCATTTTGAAAGCAACTCAGTAGCCTAACCGCACGCGGATGACGTCATAGATTGAAAGCCAAATGTTGGGAATCACAACAGGCGGGTTATAAATTAGTTTTGTTTCGGATATCACAAAATCTCATTATTATAGCCGATAATACTTCTGTTGTGACGCAAATTCAAACTTAGTTCATGGCCGTGTTAATATTCTAATGAAGGTGGGCATGGCGAATTTCTGGTAGCTTTATGTTTATCTCAGCCTTTCATCTTATTATGATCTATCCCCATGCCAAACAGGATGACTAGTCCCGAAAGAAGATGGAGATCCTAATCACTTTCATACCTGAGGGCCCCTCCCAGTTAAAAGAAAAAAAATAGAAAAAATAATTACCTGATTGAACTACTGATTCGTCGTGAATTTGATCATCTAACTCTGAATTTTAGATGACAAATATGAGGACACTGAGGAAATATATGACGACACTGAAGAATTATATGATGACGTGGAATCTGTGCAACCAAGGAACGGGGGTAAACTTTGAAATTTTTTCTCATCTTTGACTTAGACTTGTAATTTTATTTTGGAGGAACTTAATGTCGGTTCGAACCCCTAGCTCTAGCAAATTTTCTGAGCTAAGATTTGTTTTTCTTTGGGCCAGCGTTGTACGAGGGTCTCACGAGGGGCAACTTGAATGAGTTAAGCCTTCGCACCCTAACACCAGTATGTATATTCTCCATACTGGTCTCCATACATTTCCTATAGTGACGACAAGGAGAATTTGTTTAACAATCAAGAGCTTCTTTAGTTGATGATCAGTTCCTTTATTTAAGTTACCTTAATGTGTGATTCAGGGGTGTTATTGTAAGGAGAAATTAGATTAGAAATAAGGGTTGAGGGAACAAACCTCGCTCAAGGTGGCAGGATTTCGGGGAGGTAAATAACCTCTCTTACAAAATTATAACCTTTGTAGATATGGGCCGTCCAAAAAGGCATGTGCCTTCTAAGGGGGTTTGAACTAGAGCCCTTTTGGTCTGAGAGCGGATTTCAGTAGTTTGCTATTAGGGTTTTTAAGATTTAAAAATCGGGTAAGGCTTTCAAGAAGAAAACGAGAGAAAATGGACGTTTGGTTTTTTTTTATCTCCAAAAGAAAAAATTCATAAATTGAAGTAACAAAAAGTAGGCCAAAACATCGAGGGAGGTGACGCCCATTTCACATGCTGTTATCGCCAAACTTATTGCCATTCCGTTTCCTGTGTGTGTTGCGTTTTCGTGTCAATTACATGTGTCAGGTTTTGTACATTTCATTAGTTGTATTGTGTACTTATGGTTGAAGTTTGCACCGTTGCGTAATGTTACGTAATCACGTGGAGTGATTTGTCAGGTTTTGCGTATGAATTTAGTCCTGTGTAAGAAGCAGCGTCGTCGTTTTCGTTTCTTGCCTGTAAAGCTATGCACCATTAAGGTAAACATTTTTCTTTATTGTGAGTTTATTTATAAGTTTTCGTTCTCTAATATGTATTTTCCCACTCATGTTTAGTACCGTAGGCGTGTGGATGTTTTAAAATAAATGATGAACACAATTACGCGTGACTTCGGTCACACATGCAATGGCACAGATTCGCAAATTTCAGAAACCAAGTCTGAGTTTGGGTTAAGGGGGGGGGGGGGGGGAAATCAGTAGAATACTATAGAGCCTTATGGGGATCAGGTCAATTTCATAAAGACATGAGCGACATTCTCCCCCCCACCCCTTCCCCCCTTGACGATGAATAATGACCGGCCCTGGCGATTTTGTCATTCTTATTAGGTACGTTATTTCTTTTTCGACAGATGACCAATCAGATGACATTTATGAAGCTGTTTAGCTTGGGACTTGAATTGTTTTTACCGTCTTCTGTGTGGCCAGTTGTGGTGGATGAGGTCACAGTCAAACTAAAAGAAAACTATCAATCTTGATGATAATTTTATTAAAATTTATGCGCTATTTTGAGAGAATACTGAAATGAACTTCAAATTTATAGGCTTTAGTTCATCTCCACCTCAAATTGTGGGTGAACATACTGGAGTAAACAAGTATAAAGACAAAAGGTGTTATAGTAAAACTGACTGAATGTGCACGAGTCATTTACCTTAAAACTATTTTGCTGTTTAATTTCATTTTTCGATGTAAAGCTTTCAAACTGGCTATTAACTAGACTATAGACAGCTGCCTAACTATACATCGTGGTAATATCAAAAGATGTAGCAAAAAGATAATTTAACAGTCATATTTTTGGCGAAAAACGAACTAAAATGTATTTGTATTAAGAGCATAGGTTTATAACGAAAATGTGGTGCTGTGTCGGTGGGGGGAATATTACACCATTTAGTTTTATCGACAGAGTACATAAGTAGTTTTTAAAGTTCTACAGTGGCCAATGTACATCATCATTATTATTATCAAGTTGGTAAATAATGGTAATTGAACTGAGTGGAGTGCAATTTGGTCTGGGATCATACGCGTGATTTGCGATCACAAGTATGATTTTAGACCAAAATTGTATGACAAGATGTTCCATCACCACTTTATTGCATTTTTTTGAGATCGTAAATTCAATCCCCAAAACAAGTTTCGCCATTTTGGTTTGTAAAATATTTCATTGATTCAGTATATTAAAACGGTTTGTAGAGAGTTGCAAAAGTTGTCTCTCATTGTCCTGAAATTTGACTGATTTCTATAATCAAGCCTCAGCTCAAATTTGAGTGGTTGTTGTGCTTTAGAAAAGCTGCGATCTAGAGCATAAAATGGTGCAATTTGTGAATAAATCGCACCAGTGAAAGCCAATCAGATTACAAGGATCACAACTGATTCAAAATGGATATAATAAAACCAAACGTAAATTGCTATTCATCAATGACAAGTCCAAGAAACTCCAAAATTATGCCGGGTCATGTTGCAATATATGTGGTGAAGGCGTTTTCACGGGTACAGGCTCCACTTGGAGAAAAACGTAATACTAATGCATTTGCTCATGTGTAAGGCTGGGTTCTAGAAATGCGAAAGAGGACCCAACCGAAAAAACTAAAAACAAACAGACACAGAGTTGACAGCCTAATCTAAAAACCTAGCTACATTACTATTCATTGCAATCGGATCCCTGAGGGAAATTAAGCAATGTAATACGTCAAGTTTAGAAATTTTAAAAGGTTTAGAGTCCAACGACAACTTTCCAGGCTCGTTTCCTTTTAGCCGGTCGTTGATGCGAGCTGGGACTGTTTATTGTGAATCTGTCTGTTTATCTGGGCACGCTGAAAGTCCCTGGAAAAAAATATAATCTTAACGCATTTTATCACATGTTCCGTAGAGTGCGTTAATCTTCTCAATTGGTTATCACTGAGGGTTAGGAGACGTGGCTGTTTTCATGATTAGCGTAGCGGAATCCGAGACTCCGTTGTATTATAGTCTTAAGAAAGAGAAACTTAACAATCAGTGTCTCACCCCCCCAAAGAGTAAATGTCGGTGGCAGCAATAACTTAGGGAAGCTTGATGAAATGTCAAGGGATTGCTTGTCATGGACAAACATACCCTCTAAGAGGAGTGGCAATTAATACTTCAAGTTTATTCAGCTTGCCGGAAAGCGGGGTAAATTTGGCTGTGATGCTAGACAGCCTCGTATGGAGACGGTGTAGAAATTAGATTCTTAAGTACACAGTCCTTAGTATGCTAACTTGGTGGTGTGGTAGACTTTTCCACGGCAAAATTCGGCCTAACTGTATCCCTTAGATTGAAAGATCATTACAGGTCATAGCAAGAATCTTATTCGGGGGGAGGGGGAGTGGAGAAGTTTAAGTCACCTTGCAAGTGAGGGAGGGTGGGGGTAGGGCTTAAAAAGTGCGACCATGATGGGAACGAACGAAGGGTTGCCTTTTTGTACACTTACGAGTCCTTGCTAGATTCTGCACTGGTAAGTCGGGTTCACAACTGGCAGAACGTGCCTTGGATCTTAGTTTCGGATTGCGCGGTGGAAGCCTGGGCGAAAGACCCATCGAAGTGGCATCATTGGAAGAAGACTTTGGACTAAGGAATCCACCAGGGAGATGGTGCTGTGCCCCTGTATGCGATAAGCACTGAGATTTAATTCACACGTGGATGGGTTTATGCATAATCAGTAGTAATGAATCGTCTGGAAAACTAGAAAAAATGGTGCTTCAATTCATGCGCGTGCAAAATCTTTTGTTTTTGCTTTCTTACTTTGTGACGGAATAAATTCATGTGAACTTTTTAGTTGGAATGTTATTGAACGCTTTGCACGATCAGGTAAAAAAATACAAAAGCACATCGGAAATCTGTCAGATTTACAAACTAGTCACTTGTAATTTTCAATTATTTTAGTAGTCAGGGCCCATGCTGGATCAAAGTTTTAAATCTTTAGGCAGTACACTTTCGTCAGAATGCCTCAACACCCGGAAGTCCAGGTGACAACTGTTCACTTGTAGATGACAAAGAAGAAGGGCAACTTGCAATGGACTAGCTTCCACTTGGGAGTGAGAAGGAATCATTGTAACTCTTCATTCTACAGCAATCGTATAGGCTCTAGTTAACCACGTGTTCAGAAATTTACCTTGGATGGCAGAAAGAGGACTCCTTGTCTTAGCTGGTAGCTTCGGAGGTGAATCATTCCTTGCTTGATGTATTGTGCCATTTTCTTCACAAATTGTCAGTTTGCTGAATAAATAAGGCAGATATAATTGCATGGTTATCTGAACCTTACAATTCGCACCCTATGTTTCATCCCTTTAGCAGCTTTAAAACAGGAAGATATTTTGAAATATCACAATCATATACTTACTCCGCAAAATTGGGCTGCATTCTGTGAAAAATCTTGAAAAAAAAGAAAACGAAGATAAAACCTTCCTAAGTACAGCTAGTGATTGTAGCTTTACCATAGTTACATACGATAATAAATAATTTTATCAACAGTACCGACGTAATGCAAAGTTAGTTTAACTGTTGAAGCACTAGTAGCCGAAGTTTTAAACGTTCGCTAAATTTGAACGTAATGAGAGTTTGTAAGTTTTCATACATAAGCTAATCGAGACAAAACATTTTGAGAGAACTTACGCTTGGATCGGATCCACGTCTTTCAGTTTGGTGACCTGCAATGTTAGTGGGAAAGAAATAGTTGTTTTCGTACAGTACTATCCAATTTCTAACCCTTGCATCCGTTCTCGAACGGTGCCGTCCCATTTCGGCCATTCGTGTTCTTTTTTAGACGTTACTGTGTGATTTAAAAAGCTTGCGTTCCTTTTCGGACGGTTTCTATCAGTATTGGACCCTTGTGTTTGTTTGCAGTCGGTATTCGCTGATTTTGGACTTAAGCGTCCGATTTTGTACGGTATTGCCTGATTTAATACACTTGAGTCCGTTTTCGGACGGTACCGTCTGATTTTGGACACCTTTGTTCGTTTTTTGACGTGACCGTACTTTTTTTGGACGATACACTGAAGTCCATTTTCGGGCGGTACCGTCTGATTTTGGACACCTTTGTTCGTTTTTGGAACGATACGGTCTGACTTTGGACACTCGCCTAGTTTTTGTTTTTCGACGAAACCGTCTGTTTTGGACACTTGCGTCCGTTTTTGATGCTTATCATCTGTTATTAAACAATCTTTTCATCAGTAATTTTTTTCCATCGATATCGTTGACTATACCGTCCGATTTCGAAAACATTTATGCAGATGACAGATGGTGACGCAGCCACCGAACAACACATGAATTTTTTTAAACAGTTACATACCCAGGAGGAATTGTGGTGATTTAACTAAGCCAGGAGATCTTGGTGGTAGCGGTGGGGCAGAATTTGGTATATCATGTATAGAATGTCGCTTATTGGTGAGGCGGTTGGATCTTGGCGGTAAGACCGGGCCTAGGTCACGTGGTAGTGAGTAGGTCGGATCGTCAACTTGCTATAAAGAAGAAAAAGAGTTATAACCGTAAGTACGTGCCGTAATTCACGTCGTTATTCCACAGAGAAAGAGAGAAAGGAGAAGGGATCGTAAGGTTTTTGCGAAACAAAACCTCAGAGATCCTTAAGTAGACCCATTGTAAACATTATTGCCCATTGGTGGCCTAAGAGTTTTTTTTAAGGCGTCTTTTCGCAATTGCATGAATTGCAAAACATTGACACGTTAAACATTTTATTTCTTCAATATCTTTCCGCAGTTCTTTCGTATCCTTTGGAATTTGGTGATTTAAAAAGACTAATTCAGAGAGGAATAGTTATCGAAAGTCCCCTGAAGGTATTGCTAGAGGACAATTCCATTCAGAGGCACAGCTGGAAATAAGCAGTAAGGACAAATTTTGTAGTAATTACCTCCTCGGTACCTCTGTCAATAATCTGTCTGAACGCGTTGAACGTTGCTTCATCGAAATCACCTTTCAGCCAGCCAAGTCTAATTGCGTTCTCTGCTAACGAAACTGCATTTTGAAGTTCGGGAGTCATCAAAATCCCTGTTTGAAACATGCATTAAGAAAGAAGGAAAATTAAACTCGTAACATCGTATAGTCATTATGACGTCGTCAAAAGCCATCAATGGCATCATCTAGACGTCAACTATGACGTCATATTGACTAACCTACCACGAAAACTGAAGTGATCATAACGACCAAGGAAAAACATGGCGGCTTTCTTAGTGAAGGGCAGGGAAGGCGTGTAAAGATGCCACGATTTGTTTTAGTTTTGTATCTTAGTGGTTTATACAGTAAATGGTTTGAACCCGGGGGTAACATGTAAAAGTGTAGTTTGATCGTCTAGGTGAGGGTAGTCTTGAGAAGGACTGTTGTCGGTGGCGGTGACAGACGTTTCGACAACCTGTTGAGCGGAAATCATCATCGGAGTCAAGTGTCACTCGAGTCTGATGACGACTTCCGCTCAGGTTGTCGAAACGTCAGTCACCACCACCGACAACAGAGTTTCTCAGGACTACACTCAACCGGACGATCAAACTATACTATTACACTTAGTGGTTTATGCCAGTTTTTAGTTTTTTTACCAAACACAGAACGAATTAACGCAAAATAAAGGAAATTTAAAACCAAGATATGAACATACTCAAGTTGACCCAACTTATCATAGAGTCTCTGGGGCTCAGTGGCAGAGCATTAGAGCGCGGAATCCGAAGGTTTGAGGTTCGATTGCCTATGAGGACTCATAATTTTTCTATGTCTCTCGCTAGTGACAAGAATTAAAAACCTTCTTCTTTTCCGCCTCGTCTTATTAGATACTCGATTGAAAGTTGGTCATCTTTTATCCTAATGTTTACTCACGGTTTGTGTTGGTTCCAATTTCTGGCATCCTTACATAGTCATGCTCTCTATCAATTTTATCTAGAGCCATGCTTGGACGCATCTCCATGTAAATGTCTTCATTTTCGTCATTATCATTAAAAACTCCCTCTTTTCCGAGCTGATTGTTATTTTTGAGGAAACATTTGTTTGACTGAAAGGAAACGAAACAGAATTGACAGATTCTGTGGTCACTCAAGAGAATCCTCTTTCATGCTAACTCTTACGGTGTAAATTGACGAAATCTTCTGGTAGAATTTAGGCACAGTTAGCCTGAAATATGATATCGCTAAAGAGGTAATTACAAAACTAAGAAGAAACACAGATTATCTAGAATGGAGTTGGATTAAAAACGAGGAACTTAAAAAAAATATATATATTGTTGCTCCCTTACTTGGCTGCCAATTTTATTTATATTTCATAATCAAGATCAAAAACCGAGATTTTTAGTTTCAATTTTTTACGGCAATTTTGCCCTCTACGAGATTTTTCGTGCTGTGCACTCGTCGTCCCATGAACAGGTATCCCTTGTACTGTTGCAGAAAGTTTCACTGTCCTTATGGAAGGGAACAGGAGAAATTCTTTTCTTATGGAAGAAAGGGTAAAATTGATAATCCTCTTTCCAAAGAAAGGAAAATTGTTCGGAAATACGTCTAACCCATTTGCAAGCAGAACGTTGTCCAGTTATAGATGATCGAAGTATGCATGTTATAACCATTAGATCATTCATTATCAACTCTTTGTCCAAAATTTTACTGGTTACCTGGAAATCTTGAAGACACTTCGTTATTTCGTGGCTTCCAAGTTTTCGAGATATTTCAATGGGTGTGTTGCCGTCTACATTCTTGAGCAAGCATGCCTGGTGTGCCGCTGGGCAGTAGTGCAGGCACGCTGCTACAGTTAATGTTAGTCCGTAAGTCGCACCAAGGTGAAGTAGAGTTGGGAACCTAGTATTTGACACAGGAGGACCTGAGGAGAGATAAGAAAAAATGGATAGGGTCTTAAACTCTCTAGGGAACTTTGCGAAGGAAACAAGCGACTATGACAGAGGAAAAGTTTACACGTTGCTAGAAAATTATTTCATCACATATCTGATTAATATGCTTCGACAAACCAGCTTGTTAGAATTATAAAAACCAAACCAACCTCTTTCTTGCGCCATCTTGAGCAGATTGAATCCTTCAGGAGCTTTCTCCTTCAGTTTTCCGGCAATAACGTCGTCAAACTTTTTGAGATCAGTTGAAGAAACTCCAAGAGAATCACAAAGTAGCATATCTGGATCACTTGCTTTTTCTAATAATTCCTGAAGGAGTTGACCTCGAGCGAAAAACTCAAAAGAGCAACGAGCGATAGAGGGTTCATGCTGTTTTAGTTTGTCGTAAATGCTAACAGTCGTGGTTTCTGGGGGATAATAGACTGCAACAGAATTGAAAACCAACAATTACTTGTTGATGTTTTGAGAGAAAATGGCCGTCGACTTGAAAGTAGTACTGGATCGATTTTGGTTCTAATAACTTTGGTTTGATATCTTTGGCTTGATTAGATAGAACCTAATCAGACATTTAAAGTAATGTTGCAATGAACATTTGTCTGCACCAATATCTTCCCCAGTTCCCCAGTAAATCAGGGTTTCCTCTTCTCTGTTCTTCTATTTCTCTCCATGTATTTCTGAGTGAATCGACTTCTTGATTAAAATTTTCCATAATTATCGCTTAGTTTACTTGCAATACCCTGGGCTTGGTCGCGAAAGTAACAAAAGTTTTATCTTATCATATCATCTCTACGGACATCAGCAAGGAACTTTACCTGGTGCATGCGCCTGAAGTGTACAGCTGTTCAGTAACACTGCAGGTACTCTGAGGCAGTGGTGTTGACCTTTGAACTCGGCCTCGTAAGGTCCCCCATCGGCAAGAAGAGGTTTATTAAAGACAAAGATGACACTTTCTTTTGACTGTAAACAAAATGATAAATTACCGATGGATTGGTTTAAAGAAACTAAGCATTTAGGACAAATGGAACACTTTCCTTTAATTGTCGGCCAAATGGTATATATGAACGGATAAATTCGAAAATTTATGAGGCGTCTTAAAATGATCAAAATACTTCTTTTTAATAGTTATCTGTTCAATTGTGCCTTACGTCATATTGCGTCATCTTTGGGGATACAGCCACAAGCTGCCTGACAATGTCTGCAAGAGAACAGGATGTTGTTATGGAGACGACAATCCCTTTCCTTAGACAGGCAATAATGTACATCAGAAAAAGAGAGGAAAGAAGCATGCGTGCGCATATTCAACGAAACTAGTCATGGTATGAATGTTGCATCGTGATACGCACTTGTTCGAGCAAACGGGCACCTGGTCTGCCCTTGAACTTAGCTAACAAGTTTCCTTCGTTGTTTTGCAGGAAAAATGCGAATCTCTTCAATGGAAAGTCTCCTTACTCATAAATTTAAAGTACCAGGTTTTGAACAGAGAGGCCTATGGAAGGAAAGAGTGCCATGGGGTATAGTTGCTAGTGTATATGAAAATCGACAAAATACAATACAAACAAAGATTGTAAAGTTGAACTGCACCATACCATATATACCGTCCTCATCTTCCATATTGTCGCTTAAAATCGACGAAGCCCAACAAATTTGGTGTTCTTCAGCAACTAAACGTAATCGATAGAAAAGATGGAAAAGACCTCTGCGTGTTAAAAAAGGCACAAGGATGTTTTATTTCTTAAGTTACAGGGGCTCATTACCGTTTTTCTAATTGTTTGTAGCAGCTTTAAGAGATAGATCAGAGCAAGCAAAATTTTTACTTGGTGCTTCGATAGAAGAGTAGAAAAAAATTTGATGCCATTATTACGCTACGCTGCGCAACATGTTACCTGAGCAACAAACATTCTTGAGTTTACCCTCAAGTGTCTGTAACTCTCAAATAAATTGGGTTGCAAAATTTTTAATCAGTATCGTGGCCTTTTGTACCGAAGAATTTAAAGCCATCGTAATTTTTGGACGATTCAACGTGTTAAGTGACGCAGGTTGAGTACCCTAGGCTTGATTTTTCAAAATGCTTCAAAACGTTGCCTCGTTAAGTATTTACTACTGCTTGTAAGTGTGCATTGGCGTCATCAAATCAAAGTGTTTCGAAACCTCAACATGTAAGATACATTTAGGAAATCTGTTTTCTTGTTTATTATCAAACCGAGCCACTGCATTGAGGTTTCAGTTTTATTTCTGACTTTAATAACAATTAGACATATTGACAATGAATTCTATACGATTCGATTGTTATTCGATTGCGATTGAATAATATGCAGATTCCTGGCTTCCTGTGTAAACCCTTAGTAATGACTAATTGTCACAGAGAGATTGGAAAACGCGAAGGAACGTGACAACTGAAAATACTGATCTGATCGAAGGCTGCATGCATGCTTCACTGTAGTTTCGCATTTTCTTTAACTGATCTTTATCTTACTCATCTAGTGTCGCGTTATGAGTGGCCTTTTAGCTCGAAACTGTAAATTACTTTTTCGCTTTCTGTGTCACAACTCTCTCTCTAGTAAAATTCATTTCGTTCTTGCCTTGCAAATCTAACATATGCACTGTTTCTTAAATTCGATTTGGTACATTCTCAGATATCATTACTATGCTTAAAAGTTCGAAAAAGGTACTCAATCAAATATGTTTATTCTGATAAAACACTCCATGCCAAAGCTCTCTTGACGAGAAATTGCGCCTGCTTTTAATTGTGCATTTATTAAGTGCTCAAGGCAATAATTAATTCTAAAAGCAGCGACCGTATTGTTGAGACGAATAGAATATCTGTGTCGAATGTCTGGAAATATATACGATTGATTCACTCTTACAAAAGTGTTACTGTAGGTACAAATCATGCATTCAGGTCTATGGTTTGTAATTACTAAAGAAAATATATTGGTAAACGTTGATTTGAGAGGTAATTAAATACCTTTGTTGCAAAATAATTCCTTGCCTTGAACTTTCCAAAAGATGGCGCAGTATTTGTAGAAAACTTCACACCGACAAAATACTTAAAGTGATTTTAAGTCAGGCTATTTCTGTTTACTTACCCCTCTTCCTGGAGGATTAAAACGCTCCATAATTACTTTACGTAATTACTTTGATATCAAGAGGTCTGCGATCATAGATCCATGTTTTGCGAATAATTCACAAAGTGTTTCTACGCTGGATGGCTCTGATTCAGCACTTTTATACTTGGGACGGAATATACATGTAAGTGTTTTCATGAACGAAACTTTCTAGTGGGCGCCGTATAAACATACCTCGAAAGAGATTTTCGATTCCCGTCTGCTTGCATTTAGGGTTAAGACCTTTAAAACTCTTTCGGCCCTGCAGTAAATTAAAGCCAATTCAAGCGAAAGTGTTTGCAGTGCCTTCATAATTATCTAGTCATGGTCAGTTTAACGTATTGTCTTAAGCTGTGTACGAAAGCCAATGGTATTTAATCTGTCAAAAGCACCGATAAACATTTGATCACACACTGTTATTAAAATCACGGGAAGTTCTAAAGAACAAAAACACGAATATTATATTAGTTGGTTAAAAACTTTTATTTTTACTAGTGCACACGACATGAATGGAAAACGAAATAAAATGCCTTTCATGTTTTTTCTATTTAAAATGATTAAGTAAGTGAATCTTAAACTACAAAATAAATATTTTCCTCGATAATTGTGCAGCCTTGTTTACATTCGTGAACATAATTAATATTCGTATCTTCAACTTTTTCAATCTATTGCTCCACTCCATGTTTGGGTATTCATTGTACCGTAAAAATTTAAAACCCCCAATCTTCAGAAAAATGCTAAAATGGTTTTAAAGTGGTCTATATATAGGTACAATTGAAACGTCAAGCTTTACAAGAGACGAAATAAACTGAGAGAATTAATTTCATGTTAAGTTCGACGCTTGAATCATTTGAGTACGCCCGATGTTATTCTATGAATAGTGCTTGTGGCTATGAAGATATCGTTAGAATGTATATAAGTATATTAAATCTAGCGTTTTACGAGGAGCACCTGTAACTCACGCCTTTGTTTCAGAGAACAAAAGTGTTTTTGATAAGTTTTGCGGACTTTTGAAACATAAGAACCAGCCCTTTGTCAAGCTTATTTTGTTTGCATAAATTTCATGACTTGAATCCAAATGTGCATGACTATTCCTTGAATTACCTAATGATTGTGGTGCACTGTATTTAGCCCTAACCCTGAGCAATTAGGACAATCACTATACGTAATCTAAAATAATTTTCAAATCCGCGCAAGTGTTCCCAGACACAAACCTGGAGTATTTGTAACTTCTTTGAGTCAGTTAGTTTAGATGATCACAGGCAAGATCTATAAAACTTGAAAAAACCTAGAAAGACTTTCCCCACAGTTACACGCTTAACTTACCACACCTGTGCTTTGCAGGAAACAAAAAAGTCGGAAAATGGTCGCACTTTCAGTAGTAGGTAATTTTTAGTTGGGAATCACTACCAATTTATTCACTGCATATCAGCATGCTCCCTAAAATTCTGTGTAAAATGTTTTATTTACTTATTGAGTACGGCATAGATAAACAACTAATAAATTAATTTTCAATTGAGTGTCGAAAGTAACCAGATGTTGCATCACTTTGCTTTGCTCAACCCTGTGATTGGTCCAGAAATCTCCGGCCGCTCTCTCAACCAATCAGAAGTAAAAGTAAATACGATCGCGACTTGGCCCTGTTTTTTTTTCCCGCGCTTAAGAATGGTAAAGTTCGTATACTCTGATTTCTTATTGGTTCCTTTTGTTTCTTTTCCCATTGGAATCATGAATTTCCGGCACTCAACTGAGAATTGTTCTAAGACGAGATAATTACACTGGTATTAACTTGAAATTGAATCCCAGACTCCCCGACTGTTGAGCCACTCAGCGTGATGGGATTAGCACGCTCGTTTACCCCAAATGTGGTGGACTGGGACGACACGCTCACGGTCTTGGACATCGGTGTGGCAAAGCTGCTGCTGCGAATCATCTCCATGACGCGGTTTTTCGCTGTGAGCACGTGCCAAGCCTCCTGAAAATCCTTTTTAAGGATTCCATGTAGGAGGAAAATGACGAAACCTTGAAACGAACATGTGATCGTGAACAAGTAATGGAACACCAATGTTCCAACAGTGGCAGCTAAACCGGCGAATAACCAGTTGAGACCGAGGAGGAAAAACACGGACACCGTAGCACGGAAGTGCGACAGACGGTTGTTCTTCTCACACATGTGAGGGATGTTGTAAATTTCCTTCATAACTGCGAGGAAAATGAAAGCGTTGACAGCCATCAAGAGGAGGACTGGGGCAAGGAATGCGCCGTAGAATGCGTCTGCGTCCATCCAGCAACTGAAATGGAGACAAGCAAACTCGTTGATTCCATATGGTTGCTTTCAATTAATATGAACTAATATGAACTAATATGATTTAGAGACGAGTTTGTAAAGGTTTTTTCCTTGAAATTATATATCGCAGGTCTTAATTTGCCTTGCTTTCGATCGTGATGTTATCGTGAACTATAACTTTTAATTCTGTCGGGATATGTATTTTTTTCAATTCCAAACCATTGCTTTATTTTGATAGGAATGGTGAAATAATTGGCAAAGTATTTCCTTGCTTACAAAACTACATGGACGGTAATGTGTAGAAATAGTCCGAAGGAAATGGTTGTAATATTTTTGTTTCGTTTCACATTAGCTAAGCAGGAGTGATCACACATCATATTGTGGTTATAAATCGTCTGCTGATATAAATGTTTTACTTACAGCGTTTCGTTATTCTTGTCCATGACGTGGAAGCCGTAGGACTGAGGTTCAGCCAATACAGTTATCACCACAATCATGGCAGGAACAACTGCAAAGAGACAAAACAATAAAGAAAAGACCTTTGAAATGCAAGAATTTATTGAAAATCTTTGGTACAAATAAATAAGCGCCATTAAAGCGTTTATATCACAAAAAAAATTATTAGTTTGGACAACAACAACTTTAAATTATTTGCAAATGTGAAGACGGCAAAGGTAATAAAAAAAATCACCTAAAATAAAAATGGCAATGCAGATTACATCTGATACAGGCTTTCAGAAACCTTCTTTTCATCTAAAAAATTCTGTCATCGCTCTTCGAAATCTATTAGAGAAAAAACCAGGTTCACCTCATCTATATTCCTCACGTTCCTAATTGATATCGTTTCGACCTCTTTGTCTCCCTCTTCTTTTTCTTTGTTTCTCTTTACCTCAACGGTTCATATACTAAGGGTTTGCGAGATTTTGGCTCATTAAATATGACAAAGCAAAGTTTACGTACTCCATCCCACCACTCCCGCCCTGCACATGAACTCGTTTTGTGAAATAAATGTGGTGTCAAAAACTTTGACCAGGTCTTGATACAGGTTGTATGCCTCGATACTCATCCAGACAATAGAGGAGAGTAGGAAATAATGAAGAAGGGCTGCTATGGCTTTACAAACGTCCAGTGAGTCTGAGCCTGTCATGCCGTTGATACCAAATGTAAACAGCAATATGGCGGCCAGGAGGGACACACACAAATACGCTAGTATTTGGTTTTGGCGAAGGCGACGAAGCTTCCTGTCGAAGAAGATCGAAAGTTATGAGAAATAAGGGTTGAGGGAACTATATAGTGAACATTCTAAAGGAAAACATGTATTATTATTTTTTTTATCATATAAGCACCATGGGCCTTTACAGACAAGAAAAGGTAACTTTATTAATGAACGACTTTGGATTGAGAATGGCGAATGCTTTGCCATTCAAACGTCAACCCGACAGAATGGCGCAAAGGGTTAGTGACTTGTCAGCAACTGATTGGCGATATGAAACACACATAAAAAACTATCGAGATTTGACACGTGTCTGGTTACAGCTTTTCTCAGGGATGGACGTCCTTGTACTCAACTGCCTGAGTTTGTATAATACAATCAGATTACTTGAATCGAAATAAGACCCCTTTTCTGACAAACAACTAATACTTTCAGAAATGTGCTTGAACGCCGTGCAGGCTTCACGCTTCTTTTTACAGTAGCCTTAAGCCTCATTCCAACTCATTAATCGCTATTTTATAACAATGCTCGTTTAGGACATTATGGGGATATTACCCTTTCTTCCCTTTCCCCTAAAATCAAATGAAAAGGAAGCAGGTCTGTATTAGGAATCTCTTTGATTCATAGTCTCTTGATCCTTTTTACCTTGAGAGGGTGATGGTTAAAATCGTGAAAAACAGCCCCAAAATAGATAAAGTACATCCAACGTAAGAAATGATTGACAGCGCATTCTGGTGACTCTCTGGGATGTCATCGCTTTTTCGCAAAAGTATCTTCGATTCAAAATTATATCCCGTCTTGAGAATATCCAGATAGTTCGTCACTTGGTTTTCGGGGAGCTCCTAAGCGGTAAGAACAAATATTTTCTTGTCAACGTATGGCCCAGAAATGAGCAATAAGTTTTGCTTCTCAATAATTTTAAGACTGTGCCTTGCCTAAATAGGTACCCTTCAGAATGCTCTAAACAAAGATAAAATGTCAGAGGTGAACGTTATCTGAGAATTACGTCAATTGAAGAATGATATAGATGATGTCCCACCTCGAAAACGAAACTTGTGTTGTTAAGCCAAACTGTGGGATACAGTTGGAAATGCACTACCACTCTGAGGTACTGCCAACAGGCATTTTGTATTCGATTTTTAAGTAAAGGAAAATCTTTGGATGGGTCCGTCATGTTTACATCCAGTTGTATCACTATGATGAAGTAGACCCCGCTGAAAGAGACAGGTTATGAATATTAAATGCATTTTAAGGAAGTATCGTTTGTCTCGCGATCTTTTGACCGCAAACTAGTGGTCTTCTTTAGGTTATGAGGTAATCTAGTAAACCCATTACTCTCTAATATCAGTATGTATATTCTCCATACTGTTCTCTACCTATTTCCCAAGGTACTGACGAGGGGAATTGTTTTAACAATTAGGAGCTTTTAACTTAGTGATCATTTTCTTTATTCTCATTATCTTAATTCTTAATGTTTGATTCAAGGAGAAACTAGATGCTAGTCATTTTTAGGGGTCAAAATGCTAAGCTTGTGAAACAAGCAATGATTTATTAATTCATGTCGTGAAACGAGCATTAGTTTTAGAATCGTCATTTGCAATGATGAAAAACCACAACCTAACTTGGTAACTTAGCGTTATTAAACACATGCTTTTCAAAACATCAAAGGAAACTAGTGAATCGACATACTTAATTACCTTTCTTCTTTGTTTTCGTCTGGTTGAAGTAATTCTTTCTCTGTTGCATTAATATCCGGCTCACCAAGTGAAGGAAGTCTGGACGATCAAAATTTCAAGATGAAATGAGAAATTTTAAGACATAAGAATTATCCATATGAATAAGGTCCATACCGCTATTTGTCCTAAGATCATACAGGAGAGAAGAGAGGAGGACTTTTAAAGACATTTTTGTATGAGTGGCAGTAATTCATTCCATCCAGGAGTTTTAACCGAACTCGTAATATTATGGGATGTAGTTTATAATTTGTCTTACCTGAAGAAAATGCCTTTAGATGTCTTGTTTAAAAGCATAGAATCTCCAAACAGGTTTAATTGGACAAAAAAGTCAAACATTTTCCAGAACTGAAACGAGAAGGTTATGGATAGGAAGATCGCATAGTGTTTGGTCACAACATTCTTGAAAGCATTCTTGAAAGAAAACATTTAATTAAGTAGGTGATCAATACAGCATTTGAAAAAAGAAATTAGAGCAAGATTTTGCAGAATTCGTGGTTTAGGGGACTCTAAGCGAAAAATGACGAGTTTAAAATTCCAAGGAAATTTGCTTACTGTGAAGCACAACTCACATTGAGACAACTTACACAATGGAACGTTAAGTTGGAAGTAAATTTGTTTACTTTGACTCTCTCCCAATCACAATGCTTTACACGTAATACAGTGCTAAGCCTCGGAGTGAAAATTCATTGTGTTTAGTTCAATCTTACTCTGTGCAGCTGGAAGAACAATCAGCAGCTTATCATTGCTTACCCCAGCTTTGATGTCATCAGCAAGAATTCGACACGGCTCGCAATTTTTCGTAAAAAACTCGTTTGTGAAGTTGTGATTTAAAATAACTCCTGATGCACGGTAATAGACTGATACGTTTTCTCCGCTACAAAACCCTGCTAAAGATACAACGTTGAACAAACATGTTATTATAAGTTGCAATGCTTCATAAGTGGTCTTCGCCAGGCTGCGGCACAAAGCGCGTTCATGAAATAAAAAGATATTCACCTTAAGGGACTGGTCTTTATTTATCGCCTGAGAAAAAATGAATTTAGAAGAGAAACGCCATCGAAATAAATCTTCAGATTCAGGTATTTTTTTATTTTACTCTCTTTCTGTTGCAAAATGATTTGTCTCTAGTGTTCCAGGGTCCTCCAATTCCTTATCATCATTTATTTACAGTAAAAGAAAAAATATAATTTGAGTGACTCGCCTGGGTAGAGATAGCCGATTTGATAGATGAAACATACAGTTTACTCTCAGTATCAATAGTCGACATTTAGATGATATCACAAAAAAAAATCCTTCACTGAAAATTGTGGTCAACATGTAGTCGTGCATAACATACCCCAAAAGTCATATTCCACTGAGATCACTTGGTACAATATTAAATTTTACTGCTATAGGACTATTGAAAGGTCATGATAAACAGAGCCAAACATTTTCGAGATATTTTTATTGCTATTGAACCAGCTGAACCAGCAATCGGTCCCTTACAAAGAGTTTTGAGATCAATCACACGGTAGGTCTTGTTACCATTGTTTCCAACAGTCAAGTGTACAATTTTACAATGACTCGCTAAAAAAAGGAATATTAAATGCATTTGTGTAAAATGGCTTGAAATTGGTAATGGAGCGGATCCGAAATAGATATTTAATTTTCCAACATCCCAACGGATAGAAAATGAAAATAACATTTCAATTTATTTTACTTAGTTGATAAAGACAAGTTGTCACGTTATAACCCATCGACGCAGCACCACAGTTTCTTTGGAAACTGAACCTTTTTTTTATTTGTTATTTTAAAGATTTAGATTTCGTTTATAATACGTAGTAGTATACTATTCGGTTTTCCATTTCTTAGCATTGTTTGGCTATAAAATACTTTAATTTAAGTCGAAAACTATTTTTAAAATTGAAATGAATTGATGGCATCGTCTTTCATGGAGCACATCCTGTTCTTGATAAATCTTGCAACCAAACTTACCTATATGCAGTCCAATTAGAATTCCAATCGCGAAACGCAATATTGACGGCTTCATCAGGTAATACCTTAAGGCCTTCTAAAAATAGAAAAATTTCCCCATGTAAGAGGTAAAAAAATATTCCAAATGTGTTACATGAAAGTTTAAAACTATAAGTTTGTGAATGTCTATATAATTTTAACTTTACAGTCACTTCTTTTTCCAGTAATTTAATAAATACACTGATACAATTCCAAACCAGTCTGTAGAGTACTTGATGCAACGGTTTACAGTCAAGTCGCCCGAGAGTCATCTCGCCAGAAGTCATGTCGCCCGAAACCTGAGTCATGTTGCCCGAAACCTGAGTCATGTTGCCCGAAATAACAAATATTAAAAAGATAAGAATTTCAGACTGTTAATAGGCAATAAGGTTGAGAAATTTTTATCACTAAAGCGCTCTTTGTTTCCGACAAAACCATGAAGATTGTTAAAGCGTTGTTCGTTCCTAACAACAAAGGGAAACGGTGTTCGTTTCCAACGACAAAATGAAGGGTTTTTCGTTTGGTATTTAACCGTTTCTTACTCACGGACGTTTCGTAAGCTTGAGAAACTCTTTTATGGTTTCTAACAATACCACGAAGACTGACTACACAGAAATCGATCGTATGCTCGGAATAGAAACATGTTTTAGTAACGATTCTAAAAGCGTTGTTCGTTTCTAACAACAAAGATAACGGTCCTTATCAGAATCAGATCAGAATAGGCAGTTTTTCGGTGCAGTGCCATATGATCGACCGTAATCGTCGCACTATAGGGCTTGTTGGCGTGGTTGAACTTCATCATCACACTCAATGCAAGGATGAATGCTCATTTTGATCAGTTCGTATTCGTATTGTAGCTAGCTTTGCCCTATTCATATATACTTTGATCGGATCAAAATATACTTGCGACCGCCAGAGGGAACAGAGCCCAACTACATAATCTATGCCACCGTAAAGGGTAAAAAAGCTGACGTTTCGAGCGTTAGCCCTTCGAGCGTTAGCCCTTCGATCAATCGCTCTGACGAAGGGCTAACGCTCGAAACGTCAGCTTTTTTACCCTTTACGGTGGCTAATTTACGTTTTCAACCCAGTTGTTAACACTAAATTACCTGCTATACTCTCCCACCGACGCAGCACCACAGTTTCTTTAGAAACTTACCCCTTTCTACATAATTTATGCCTATTCTGATCCTAAGGGAAAATGATGCTATCAGACTACTACTGTGAAAAAAGTCACAAGCATAAACAATAGACTGTTGTCTTAAAAATATCACACTTTAAGAATCTTCATGGTTTTGACAGAAAAGTAGAGATGGTAAGTTTTGAGCTCGGTGAAGAATTAAGAAAGATGTTTTTCATCTTGTCACGAGCGTGGGACAAAGAAAAATTCTGAGTCCCCATGAGGAATCGAACCTCAGACCTTCGGATTTGCGCTCCGATGCTCTACCACTGAGCCACAAAGACTCTTCGGTGAGCGGGGTCTATTACGAAGTTCTAATGACACGCGTCCTGCATACTGCTAGGATCAGCAATGTCGATGAATAGCTCAGTGGTAGAGCATCGGGGCGCAAATCCGAAGGTCTGAGGTTCGATTCCTCATGGGGACTCAGAATTTTTTCTTTGTCCCACACTCGTGACAAGACGAAAAAACATCTTTCTTAATCTTCATGTTGTTG